AGGTGACATGAACCTCCCAAGACAATTGGCGTACTGGTTGATGACTTGTATTGATCCATTAAACAGTACTCTTAGAAGCCATGATGGAAGATTTTTTAGGCTTTCTCAAAATCAAGTACATTGGGTACTTGGTATTCCCAATGGGTGTATGCCTGTTCCGACATACCAATCAATAAACAATGAAATGTTGAGCAGAGTAAACTTGATTATGGAGAGATATGGTAAATCATGGTACACTACGTCAACCTAAACTGGTCGTCAATACATCTTTGAGGGTATTCTGGTGACTAGTAACTTGATTGCGACAATGGAAGGACAGTGGCAGGAGGAGGAGGTGGAAGAGTTCAAGATGTTGTTCTTGTTGTTGTCCCTAGAGATGTTGTTATGCCCTACTCACTCCTCAAGACTGGCAGCAGATCTTGTGCCTGCATTAACGTGTGCCGTTGATGTTGCTGAATTTGACTGGTGCAGCCTCGTGTTGAAAAAGCTCATGGATAGTGTAGCTATGTTTGCACGACGGTTTTACTCAATGGGCTCTGCGAGTGGATGTGGCGGTTGTCTCATCTTTATTGTGGTATGCCTTTATTTGGTGACAATTGTCAGTTGTATTGTATCCAAGTATTTCTTCTAAAACCTGTTATGACAATTGTCAGTTGTATTGTGTCCAAGTATTGTTTTTGGATCAGTTGAATATAGAGCTATCAAAAACCAACCCGAACTAGTGAATCCAAACTGTTTTGAACTGTTATGAAAAGAAACCGAACCGCTAAGAACATGTTATTTTAAAACCGTAAACCGACCCGACCTGATTTTTAAAAAACTGAAACTGAACCGATCTGAATATTTGAGAACTGTTAGTGAACCGTACCCGATATCAAGTAGAACTGATACAACCCGAAATCGAGAATAACTCGAACCGTGTACTTTTGAACCCGATAGCAACCCGACCCATTGTAAACCGAAACCGTTTAAACCCGACAAAAACCTGATAAACCCAAATCATTTACAACCTGTAACTGGTTAGGATTGAACCGTTTATGACCCGTAATAAGTTATAATCGAACTGTTTACAAACCGTAACCGATTAAAACCAAACCGTTTATAATCCGTTAGTCCATAACCCGTTATGACCGTAGAATTTTTTTTCTTTTTTTTTTGGGTACATTTTATCAATAGTAAAACAAAAGGGTTTAATTTGAATTATAAAGTATTTATATTGAAAAGGTTTGGAATTTTGATGTCATTGAAACTCTTATGCTACAATATTATCGTCCCCTAACGAGTAATGGCTTATGGAACACTATATTGCATTAAAAAAAATCAAAAATCTAAATCAAAAGCTAACTCTAGATTTTTTATTATTATTTGATCCTTCAAATCATTATACAAAAAAGGGACATAAAGTTAAACAACTAATTAATACACCGTATGATCTACTGGAATAACTAATTAAAGAATATTGAAGATATACTTGACGATATATGTTAACGAAACCCGTTTAAAACTGGCAAAACTAGTTGTCAAACCGACTAACTTCAACTCGAACCGATTACAGCCCGAACCGATTACAACCCGCCCCGATATGTGTTGACCCAAAACCCGCTTTAAACTGATAAACCTCGTTTTAAACCGACCGAATATAACCTGAACCGATTATGACCCGAACCAATTATAACCCGACCCGATTAAAATCCGACCCGAAAAGAAAATGTAATAAAAATAAACCAAACCGACCCGACCCGAAATTATTTAAAACCTTCCTGAACTGACCCGTTAATAATTCCAACCCGTTAAAAACCGACCCGTTACAAAATGAAAACTGATAAATCGAACCCAAAACTGAACCGAAAACCCGATTGACACCCCTAGTTGAATAGATTTCCTGTGTAGTGGGGTTATTTCCCGAGGGTGGATGTTTGGAATGTGGAAGAGATACGTAAGGCTGTTAGAGAAGATAGTCTCCCAAACAGGGGTGACTTTGGACAAATTGGGGTACGCATTGACAGAACTACCTTGTTAATTTTCATAGGGCCGTAGATGTTTAAACTAAATCAAATTTGATTTGGTGTACATAGACAGTGGATGTTTCATACGGTGAGACGCATCCATGTGAAGCAAGAGATAGTAATGAACCTGATGGGAAATCAAAGGTGTTGTGGTCAAAAGATGGCAGTTTGTTTTAATGTGTTATGGTATGCATTGATCTCATATATCTACGTCCTCCTCGTATAGGTTCTTAGGATTGTATGTTATAGGATCAAGGGTAGGAAGGGTTTTCGAAGCCGTGTTGCCGCCAATATTGTTAAGAGGGGTAATTCGATGTTACAAACAATTGATATGAGTTGCCATGACTTAAATAAACTACCCGAAGCTGGTATCTGAATATCCAAAATAAATGGCCTTTTCCTCAAATGCAACCACTGTTATTGTAATAATAAGGGTACACTTATGTTCTCCCTTATTTGCCTAGTTCATAATAGACTTGGAAAAATGGGTCATTCAGGTCGGGTATGGGTCGGGTCATTTTGAGTCGGGTCAAGTTCGGGTCAAAAGATTATCGGGTCAAGTTCGGGTCGGGTCATTTCGGGTCGACTGATAATCGGGTCGGATCGGGTATCGGGTCAACACTTTGGGTCGAGTTCGGGTCGGGTCAACTTCGAGTCGAGTCATATTCGTGTATATATATATATATATATATATTTATTGACGAAAAACTCACTATATTTATTAAGGCTATTTTTTCATGGAATATAGTAATTGTTTGACTTATATTAACCTTTTTTTTTTGTGTTTAGATTGAGAATCACTTTCAGGATCTCCTGAAACTAATAGGGATGCTCTAACTAATTGAGTTATACCTCACTCTCTTATTGATCTTAGTTTTAATACGTACTCTTATTATCATTGTCATTGTTGTAATAATTTCTTTGAATTATTCTTATACTCTCTCCGTCCCAAATTACACTTAACGATTTGACATTTTTGCACTATTTACACATCTCACTTTGACCGTCTTTTTAGCTATTATATGAAAGTCAACGTAGTCATGTAAGATGTTGTTGGGTCTATTTTAATGTATAATTTACTAATATAAACTTTTTATAACTTATACAATTATTTACTAAAAGAAGTTAAAGGTCGGGTCATTTTCGGGTCGGGTCAACTTCGGGTCTCGGGTCAACTTCTGGACGGGTCGTTTCGGGTCTCGGGACAACTTCAGGTCGGGTCATCTCGAGTCGGGTCGGGTCATTTCAGGTTTTGGGTCAAGGTCGGGTCAGTTCCACTTCGGGTCGGGTATGGGTCGGGTCGGGTTAATTCGGGTTTCTGGTCAATTTCGGGTCATGGGTCAGGTCATCGGGTTTGGGTCAAGATTGCCAAGTCTAGTTCATAATGTTGTTATTGTAATTTGTACGATATAGAAAATTAAGGAGATGCTCAGTGTTGTTATAATTGTAAAGATAGATATAGGTTCTTTTTAGAGCCAAACTTCTCCTAATAATGAAAGAGGCCGTAATGAAAGGGGCCTCGTAATGAAAGGGGCCTCATTACAACTACAATCTTGGGCCTCTAAGTACCAGGATTTTTTATTTGTCATTGAACATTTTAATTTCTATGTTGAGCCAATGTAGCCTGATCCAAAACTATGTACACATGCTAATGACGGTCCAATGGTCGTTTGTGCTAAAACACAATTACATAAACACAAATCATTCAATAAATGGCTAAATGAACAACTAATATCATTTTAAAGTCTTATCTTATCCAATTCGTAAATATTTTTAAATTTTACATTACACACTAACTTCATGTTTATTTCATGTCTAATTACTTTTTCAAATATTAACAGTACCTAGGGTTTCTAGGTTTACTATTCCATTGGTTGCTGGTTGATCTGAGCAACGATCTGAGCCAATAATTCATCCTCGTCATCCTTCACCTTCTCTGGAACAGAATATGCACAAGCACAGTGAGGATCGGGCTACTCCTTTCACTGGGAATTTGGCTGCCAAAGGAGCTTCTTTGTCTTTTGTTGCTCCGAAAATCCAAGAAGGGAAGCAAATTGCTGAACTACAGGAATCCGAGCTTGAAGCAGGTAATCAAAAATGGTCTAATGCTTTAGTTTTCGTGGTTGGCTTTTACCCTACTATTGCTGCTGTTCTTCGATTTTTTGCTCAACAATGGAGTGATATGCAAAAACCAGATGTTTATTGGCATGATGATGGGTACTTTATCATTAATTTATGTTCTAGTGATGATAAAGATATTATACTCTGTTCTGGTCCTCATATGTTCCTTGGGAAACCAGCAATAGTGAAGCCTTGGTGTCCTAAATTTGACTTTAATGCTGAAATTCTTAGAACTGTTCCTCTCTGGGTTAAGTTTCCTAATCTCCCACTTAATTGCTGGGGATCTGACACTCTTAGCCGCATTGGTAGTTTGCTTGGAGTGCCAATTTGTGCTGATGAGTGTACTACTAGACAACTTGGAGTGTCTTTTGCTAGGGTCCTAATTGAAATTGATGTTACAAAGCCTATGCCTAACTCTGTCTTGGTTGAGAGACCTTTAAAGGAACTATTGGAGCTCAAGGTAGTGTATGAGTGGGCCCCACCTTTTTGTTCTAAGTGCAACAAGGTTGGTCATGATTGCTCTATTAAACCTGCTGTTGCTAAGCCTAAGCAGGTTCTTAAGCAGCCAGCTCCTGTTGCTCCTAAGCAAAAGCAGGCCTGGGTTCCTAAGCCTAGCCAAGCTCCTGCTCCCGTTGTTGATGTTGATGCTTCTGTTCATGGAAAATCTGTCATTACTCCACAGGTCCATACTTCTCAAAATTCAGATGAGGGGTGGAGAATAGTTAGAAGGAAGACAAAAAGGCAGCAAACTAGAGTTCATCAGCCTGCCTCTACCTCTAATGCTTTTGTTGCTTTATTTGCAAATGAAATGGATGGTGTAGGTGGTTTCACTATAAATCCAAGCGGGGGTGAGGTTAATCCCCCTTTGGTGTCATGATTTACTCTATTTGGAATGTTAGGGGCCTGAATGACCCTGGCAAAGTTGCCTCTGTAAAGAGGTTGCTTCATTCCCATGCAGTTGATGTTGTTGGTCTTCTTGAAATAAAAATCAAATTGAAAAATGTTCTCACTTATCAGAGGAAGTTTGGCTCTTCTTGGCTTTGGATGTGCAATTATGATCATTCTCCCAAAGGGAGGATCTGGCTTGGTTGGAATGCAGATAGAGTAACTGTTAATGTCTTGAAGGTTCATGAACAGTTCATTCATTGTAGTGTCTCTTCTAAGGACCTCTCTACTCAAATTCATCTCACTGTTGTCTATGGGTTTCACTCCATTCATGATAGACTTCCTTTGTGGGAAGGAATTAGAAGCATCTCTATTCAGCATTCTCCTTGGCTTTGTGCTGGTGACTATAACTCTGTTCTTCATACTTCAGATAGGCTTTATGGTAATAATGTTACTGATTATGAGACTAGAGATTTCCAGAGTCTGGTTGATGATTTGGACCTCACTGAGATCAAAGCAAAGAAGCCTTCTACTCTTGGTCAAATAAGGCTCACACTGGTCCTAGAACTCTCTCTAGGATTGATAGAGTCTTTGGTAACCAAGCTTGGCTGGCCTCTCATGGGCATGTTGAGACTGTCTATCTCCCCCCCTCTTTATCTGATCATAGTCCAGTTCTGCTGGATGTATGCTCTGCCCCTGCTGGGAAAGGTAGACCTTTCAGGTTTCTAAACTGTATTGCTGATCACCCTAATTTCCTTGATACTGTTTCTCAGGCTTGGAGTTCTGGTAGTTCTGTTTGGTAGAAACTTAATTCTGTGAAGTCTAGTATCAAGTCTCTTAGTAGCAAGCAGTTTGGCAACATTGAGGAAAAGATTGATCAAGCTAATGTTGAGCTTTCTGGAATTCAGAACTTAATGGCTCAAAATCCTGATGATTTGGATTTATATGCTAATGAATCTGATGCTATTAAGGTTTTTAAACACTGGAATGATATTCAGGAAAGCATCTTCAAACAAAAATCTAGGATCAATTGGATTAAGCTTGGAGATGGCAATTCTCATTATTTCTTCTCTGTGATGAAGAATAGACAAGCAAGGAATAGAATTGACTCTTTGACTCTAATCAGGTGTTGCTCAAGGATCCGGATGCTATTTCTCATGAAATTATCTCCTTCTATAAGTCTCTTTTAGGGACTCAGGCTCCTTGGCTCCCTGCTGTTGACCTTGTTACTATGAGGAGGGGTAAACAGCTTAGCTCTGTTGCTCAGAGTTATCTCATTAGGCCTATTTCTCATGCTGAAATTGATGCTGCCCTTAAGGGAATTGATAACACTAAAGCTCCTAGTATTGATGGCTTTAACTCCTTCTTCTTTAAGAGAGCTTGGCATATTGTGAAAGATGATATTTATGCTAGTGTTATTGATTTCTTTACTAAAGGGACCTTGCCTAAGCAATGGAATTGCACAACTATCACTCTTGTTCCTAAAATCCCTAATGCTTCCCATGTTAAGGATTTTAGACCTATAGCATGTTGCACTGTGGTTTATAAGCTCATCTCTAAGGTCATAACTGCTAGACTCGCTGCTATCATTGGTGAGGTGATTGATGATGCTCAAGCAGGGTTCATTCCAGGAAAGCACATTGGTGACAATATCCTTCTTGCAACTGAATTGATCAAAGGCTATGATCACAAATTTATCTCTCCTAGATGCATGGTTAAGGTGGATTTGAAGAAAGCCTATGATTCAGTTGAGTGGGGATTCTTGATCACTGTTATGCAGGAGCTTGGTTTCCCTCAGAGATTTGTTAGCTGGATCTAGACTTGTCTTACTTCTGTCTCTTATTCTATTTCTTATTAATGGTTTTCCTGCCCCTCCCTTTGAAGCTAAGAAAGGTTTAAGACAAGGTGACCCTATGTCTCCCTTTCTTTTTGCTATTGGTATGGAATACCTCTCCAGATGCCTTGATGAGCTTAGGTTAACTCCTGATTTTAACTTCCATCCTAGATGTGAAAAGTTAAACCTAACTCATATGATGTTTGCTGATGATTTATTGATGTTTTCAAGAGCTGATAGTGTTTCTGTTAAGCTCCTCTTCCAAGCCTTCTTGAAATTCTTGGGTGCCTCTGGGCTTTCTGCTAATCTTGATAAAAGTGAAGTCTATTTTGGAGGAGTTTCTGTAGATGTTCAGACAGAGCTGAGGGAGCTTCTTGGTGTTTCCTAAGGTACTATCCCTTTTAGGTATCTTGGGGTCCCTCTCTCTTCCAAGAAGCTTACTATTGCTCAGTGTAGGCCTTTGGTGGAGAAGGTGACTGCTAGAATCCAAGGGTGGATGGCTAAACACTTGTCTTATGCTGGGAGGCTTCAGTTGGTGAAGAGTGTGTTGTTTGGTATTCAGACATATTGGGCTTAAATTTTTATCTTGCCAAAGAAAATTTTGAAAGAGGTTGAGGCTAGATTCAGGTGCTTTCTTTGGACTAGATCCTCTACCCCTGCTAAAAAATCTTTGGTTGCTTGGAATAATGTCTATCTCCCTAAAGTTTGTGGTGGCTGGAACTTGCTTTCTCTTCCTGAATGGAATAAAGCAGCTGTCACTAAGTTAGTTTGGGATATTGCTCACAAGGCTGATAATCTTTGGGTTAAGTGGGTCCATTTCTATTATTTCAAGCATAAAGATTGTTGGACCACCCCTACCCCTGCTAAATGCTCTTTGTTTTTGAAGAAGATTCTGAGTTGTAGAGATGTTGTGAATGATCAAGGGGGATGGGATGGTTTCATACAGGGCAACAAAGTGAAAATCAAGAAGCTTTATGCTGCTATTAGACCTCAAGTCCCTAAGGTTCCTTGGAAGAGAGTTATTTGTCATAACTTAGCAACTCCTAAAAGTGTTTTTATCTTGTGGCCAGCTTTGTGGAATAGGCTTGTCACTAAGGATAGGTTGCTCCAATGGCACATTTCTTGTGATCCAAGGTGTTTGTTGTGCTTGAATAGTAATGAAAGTGTTCAACACTTATTCTTTGATTGTGAATACTCTAGACAGGTTTGGAACAAGATGTTGGGTATCTTACATGTTTCCAAGCCTGTTCAGCAGTTTAGTGATGAGATTGATTGGCTGAAGAAAATCTGCAGAAGTTCCAGATTGAAAAACAAAGTGATCCATGTAGCCTTCACTGAAATAGTTTATGGTATTTGGATTCAGAGGAATGCAGTCTTGTTTACCGGTTGTTGCAAATCTGTTGATGCTCTAGTTAGGGATATTGTCTTTCATTTAGTATATAGTATCCCAGCGGGAAGCAAATATTTGATTGTTTAGAAGCTGCTTCAGCTTTTCTGGTCTTCTGATGCTGTTGCCGGTTCTTGCTGATTTCTGATTCCTAACTTCTGAGTTCTGGTTTCTGGTTTTTGGGGTTGTTGCCGTTGCTGGCTTGTTTTTGTTGCTCTTGTGGCTCTTTATTTGATGCTGGTTTCTGTTGTAGCTTCTGTTCTATTGTTGTTGCTGAAATTCAGCTGTTGTTGCTGTCTCTTTTGCTGTTGCTCACTGATTTGTTGTGCTGTCTGCTTTGGTACTGTTCTGGTCAGCTGCTGGTTGTGCTGGGGGGTGTGTTGCTGCTGCTGGCTTCAACTGTTTCTATTGTTTTCTGCTGCTGGCTGCCTGCCCTGCTGTACTGCTGCTGTTGCTGTTGCTGGTTGCTCTGCTGGTTGTCTGCTCTACTGCTGGTCAGCAGCTGGTTCTGGTGAGGGCTGTTGTTCTGATCAGCAGCTGCTGCTGCTGGTGATGTTGCTGGCTGCTGTTTCAGCAGTTGCTGAGTTGCTGAACTGCACTGCTAATGTCTGTGTTGCTGTACTGTTCTGTTGTGTGTTGCTGCACTGTTCTGTTGTTGTATGTGTTGTTGTTGCTGATTTTTTCTTACTGATTTTGCTGGTTTTAGGTGCTATTTCAGGTTGTAGTTGTGGCAAGTCAGTGTTTCTAATGTTGAAATCTGGTGCTTTGTCTTGTTGCTTTACCTGAGATGATGCATTACCCTCTTTTGTCTAGTCATGTTGCTTTTGCAACTGAGTCTAGGTGGAGGTTTGCTTTTTGCACTTTGCAGGGGTGGTGTTTATTGTTGTTGCTCTGTGCTTGTCTTTGAGTTCTTGGGCCTTGTTTCCAGAACCCTTCCTAAAAGGTGGCTGGAAGCTTGTGCTCAGGATGTTCTTGTCTCTTTCTCCTGAACCCTTCCTAGAAGGTGGCAAGAGATTGAGCTTGAACTGTTTGGTGTTGGTTGGCCTGTTTTTTAGGTCTTGTGGGGTTTGGTGTTTGTTATAACTTAGCTTTTATAAGTTGTAACTTTTCCTTTTGGTAATAAAATTTCTCTTATTTTCCAAAAAAAAAAAAAAAAAAAACTTTTTCAAATATTAAGTTACACATTTCATGTTTATTTCCCATCAATTACCTTAAACATTCTCAAATTGAACGATATTAGGCTTCCGACTAACTTTTCAAATGTCGTATATCAACTTTTCAAATCGCCGTATACCAACTTTTCAAATCAAATTCCAATGAAAATGATTATCAAATCAAATTCCAACAAAAATGGTTATCAAATTGCCGTATATCAACTTAATTAACATACCTAGATCTCAAATCACAAAGTAACTGCATACTTGATAAACATAAAGTTCCATTAACAATTCAAATCTTCAAGTTCTCAAAACGAAATCACAATAACCATTGTTGGATATCATAGCGTAGCATCATCAGCACATTAACATTCCAATGTTCAAGTTCTCAAAATAAAATGACACTAACCATAGCATCATCAACACATCAATGAGCTAAATATAGCAAAAGGTGTGACTTTTAATTTTCCATTCCAAAGCTACTTAACTAATTAGTCCCACGATATATTACAAACAAAAGGTGTGGTGCTATTTAGATTAGAGAGAGACAATACTAATAAAACTACTAACAAACTCAGCTCCAAATCCCAACTCATTCAATCTTCTTCACTCCATCAAGTTAGGGCCAACAACCACTTTGTCATAATTCAGAATCTTAGCTTCCCTTATGGTGTGAACACAGGTCAGCACATTATCCTCACACATGAAGATCAAATTCTCTAGATTAACATCAAACTTCTCACCCCAGATGTGAAACAGACGGCGTAGAGGAGTGTCTAGCTTGCCCTGAACTCTGAGCTTAGACTTCTTCCTGTGTCCAGTGTTCTTAACATAGAACCTCTTGATCCATGTGTATGTGTTCACAACTCCAGGCCGATTTACATAAAACACAATTAGTTACAACGCTTATATCAATTCCAGTAATACCAAATTACCTTAATGAACATCTACATAAGCACATTGAGTGACTTTAACTGTTGATTCAGTGGACTACATCAATACCGGTGGGCCACATTACAATACCGGTGGGCCCTAATTGTTACCAACTCTATAGTTTTATTACATACTTAGCCCATTTAATTTCTAATTTGACACATTACATATGAGATACATTACACATTAATTTTACATAACCATATTATTAACCATATTAAATCGAATTAGCATAACAACTATAATTAATTTTACATAACCATATTATTAACCATATTAAACCGAATTAGCATAATAGCTATAATTAATTTTACATAACCATATTATAAACCATATTAAATCGAATTAGCATAACAACTATAATTAATTTTACATAACCATATTATTAACCATATTAAATCATTTTAGCATAATAACAATAATTAAACTAGGAGTTTAATGTAATTGTGGTCTTAGTTTAGGAACAAAACAAGGTGCTTAGTTCACATGGTATATTACCCGTTAAATTCGTACAATAAACGATACAAACAGTAAATATTACGGTCGAAAATAAAAACCTCATGCCATTACACACGTTAATTAGTAAATTAATTGACGATGTAAAAAATAGTTACTTGAATATAAATTGTAAAAGATTTCGACTTTATCAATCCATCCACGAAAAGAACATCACCACTGTCAATCCCCATCGCCTTTGGGTATGAATGTACTCCCAATAAAAACCTTAATCTGACTTGGATGGACATCGATCTGAGATGCATAATCACGGTAGATTCAGTCGAAGGTTTCATCTGTACGTATCTTGTACGGGACACCAACATCTCAAGCAGTGCGACTCCTTAGTACTATAGAATACTCAAACCCCCTACCATCAGCAATAGGTAAAACCTCGTTGAGGTCGAAGTTTGGTATTTCATCACCCTCAACCGCATCAGCAGCCTACTCGGACATTAAATCAACTGTAGTTGGTATTTTGGGCTCAGCTGAAGGATGGTGCACCCTTTTGACTGTAGCATTCTTGTTCGCCTTGATAGGAATTTTAAGTGGCCATTGGAGGCGAAACTTAGGATTACTACCCGGTCCAGTAGCATATTGACCAAATAGGTTGGAAATGAAGTCATTACTTTCACTCCTTTTGATGAAAATGGGTTGTTTGCCCTTTCCCTTTGGTTGTGGGATACCGGGACGACGACGTCTACCAACACCTCGAGAAGACTCAGGTATGTCAACAGCAGGCGATCTCTCACGTTTGAGAGAGGGACGATCAACGGATAAAATGGGTATGGTGGGCATGGTTTTTTTTTCTCAAGTGTGCGATGCTAGAGTTTTCAGGCAGCTTAGTATGCTTTAAGCTATCTCATCTATCATCTTTATATAGTGCATGTGACCTTAAAAGATGAAGTTAGGGTTTATTCTCACATGTGACATGGCACCCACATTACATACGGTTATATTAGCTTAGACTAAAGCACAATTCTGTGTACCACATTGTGATTTCCCTCTAAATTATACGGTACAATTTCGGTGACACTTATTTGTAATTATTCAATGATTTGTATTGCTAATGACATAAATCTAATAATATATATTTAAATATTGCAAAAGTTCAATACGGTAAATTGATAAAAGCATTTTAAAATTAATTTTAGTGTCTTTTTTAATTTAATCATAAATATGATTTCAATGTGTTTATTTCAAGTGTTCATATTTCTTGTCATCCTTTATTAGGAATACGATATTAAGTGTTTAATTGTGTGTCATTCTAGAAAGTAGAAGTATATGATTTAATAAGAGGATTTAAAGTTTAAATTTAAATTTAATTCAGAATAATGTTAATTAGTAGAGAAAATTATTTTGTGAAATTAAAATAAAAATGTAGAGGAAATTAATTTGTAGAGGAAATTAAAAAATTGTTATAATGTTAAGGCCTAGCCAAAAGGCCTTCAAGGTCTTTTGATGAAAGCAAACTTCTCTCGTATATAATTCCCGCAAGCCTTTAGAAACATATTACCCTATTTAATCATATGTACTTTTTTTTTTTCTGATTTACTGCATAGACCCTCTTTTTTGTGAATATGAATGAACCTTCTTGGAGTTTTCCTAATGGTACTTTTTGATGAAAATTACTGTTATTTATGCTTTAACAAATAAATTTCATAATTTTTTTTTGAGAAAATTTTTGTTATTTGACGAGAGGGTATTTAGTAATTTAAATAAAAGTAAAATGTATTAGAGTTATGCTACATAAATAAATTGTTCATTATTCCTAAATTGTCATTAACATAGTAATGATGGTGGGTACCAATTAACATAGTAATAGTACATGATTTTAACGATAAAATTGTGATGGTAATTGATTCACATTTGGGGTAATTGATTCACAACTGGGGTAATTCATTGATACCAAAAATTAGTCAATCTTAAACAATTAACACTTCAATACGTTTGGTATTTAATTAAGAACAAATGATTATGGGGCACTTGCAAATAACACTCGTATCACACAGCTACAATTGTTTCTTGTTTGTATACGAAACCTTTTAACACATAAGTAGTGCTATCTAAATTTGGTTTACTGCAAAATAAAAATAGCCTAATTTGCGAAAAACATATTGTCTGTCATTGCCATGCAAAAGGTTACTAGTTTATATTATTTTACAAGCATAAAAAAAAAGATGATACCACCGAATCACGCCACTGCAGGAAATATTTTCACAAGTCATTATCTTCTTATTTGCATTGTCGTTACCTAACTACTTGCGTACTAGGAATTTAATTGTTTTGTCTTTATATGGCAGGAAGGGTCTTAAACAATACAAATACAAGAGCCCTTATGAAGTTTATAGTAGTGTACGGAAATGAAATCGAAATAATTTTGAAGTGAAAAGAATTTGAATTTTATAAAAGCAACTCTGGGGTTTTGAATTTGGGGAGGAGACAAGTGATCCAATAATGAAATGGTTAACACGATCTAGTCAACAAAAAATCAATTCATTAAGGAAACGGTTAATAAATGAACTAGTTTAGATGATAAATCAAAAGTCTAATCACCTAAATACACCATCAGTTAGTTACAGTTGATCAATTACTGAAATGGTTTACACACATCATTAATCTATTTGATATACGTTGTTCGACTAATTAGTTCAAATAATTTAAAGTAAAAAAAAAAAAGTACCATTGTTTAATTTGAAATAAGTAAATGAATGAACTAGTTTAGATGATTTAGCAAAAGTCAAAACATTACAACGTATCATATTAAATCTATTTGGAATGAGTCATTAAACGAAGTAGTTAGTTCATATGACTTAGCAAAAGTCAAAACGTTATTATGAACTATTGTTTTACTTGAAATAAGTCAATCAATAAATTAGTTTAAGGAATATCCCAGCAAAAGTCATAACATTAAAACACATCATGTACTAACTCTGATATCAGTCAATCAATGGACTAGTTATTTATTAAAGGTCAAATCGTTAACACACATCATTACTTTTGGTTGAAATTAATAGGCACCAAATGAATTAGTTAAGATGATTAGGAAAAGTTAAATAATTACTGATTGTGATATCTATTGAACCCATCGACTTTTTATATCAAAAGTCAAATCGTTAACACACATCATTACTTTTGGTTGAAATGATTCAACACCTAATGAACTAGTTAAGATGATTAAGGAAAGTCAAATCATTACTGACTGTGATACCTATTAAACCTATCGACTTTTTATATCAAAAGTCAAACTGTTAACACACATAATTATTCATTACTTTTGGTTGAAATGAGTCAACACCTAATGAACTAATTAAAATAATTAGGAAAAGTCAAATCATTACTGATTGTGATATCTATTGAACCCATCGACCTTTTATATCAAAAGTCAAATCGTTGACTCCTATCATTACTTTTGGTTGAAATGAGTCAACACCTAATGAACTAGTTAAGATGATTAGGAAAAGTCAAATCATTACTGACTATGATATCTATTGAACCCATCGACTTTTTATATCAAAAGTCAAATCGTTAACACACATCATTACTTTTGGTTGAAATAAGTCAACACCTAATGAACTGGTTAAGATGAATAGGAAAAGTCAAATCATTACTGACTGTGATATCTATTGAACCCATCTACTTTTTATATTAAAAGTCAAATCGTTAACACACATCATTACTCATTACTTTTGGTTGAAATGAGTCAACACCTAATGAACTAGTTAAGATGATTAAGAAAATTCAAATCATTACTGACTGTGATATTTGTTAAACCCATCAACTTTTTATATCAAAAGTCAAATCGTTGACTCACATCATTACTTTTGGTTGAAATGAGTCAACACCTAATGAACTTTTTAAGATGATTAGGTACCGATTTCCGTAATTCACGCCTCAACTGCAGCAAAAAACATCGTTGGAATCAAGAACAACGAAGGCTATATAGTGTTCATTACCCTAGATAACAAAGTCAGTCCAGTTCACTTACCAGATCTGTTCGACCTAGCTTTGTTGCCTAAGGCTTTAAAGCATTTTATAAGGTGGGTTATCCCTACGCATGGTGGGGTGAAAGGATGTGGTTCCCCCCATATAATACCAAAGGAAATTTTAGGTTTGGTTGATCCTATTTTGGATATACCGGATGTCAAAGAAAGGTGTTACCTTTCAGCTGGTGACCACTGCATAAAAATCACTAGTTACAGAAATAACTTTAAAATGATTAATGTTCAATGCCCAATGTCAGTTTCGAAGGTGTTCATGAGTAGTTCATTACATTTCTCCAGCTTACTAGATGGCAGGGCAATTGAGGTCAAAATACAGGTTGTGGCCAACGAAAACAAGAAGTTTTGGAGCGGCAGTTGTGGAAGGGGAATAAAGATGATGTTGTGGAACTGTCGTGACATGGATGGGAAGGGAGACATTTTCGCCCCTAATCAGTTTTGCAATTGAGATGCATATGCCTGACTTTATGATACTCACTGAAACACGTGTTTCAATTCACATGGCTCGCCTAATATGTTCTCTTTTAAAGCCATATGGGGTTTACGGTGTATCAAAAACGGTGTCGGAAGGTGGTTCTGTGATGCTGGCCGTCACCAAGCACATGGCAATGGTTTTACTAAGCGACTTCCCTCAACAATACTATTGGGGATTCAAGAACACGGTGTAATAGATTGTCTAAGTATTTGATGTTTAAGTGAAGAAAGAAGCTTAGGTAAATTAGGATTGGATGTACAGGTAAATTATTAATCTTAATTAGGACTGGTTGTTTAAGTCAATTAGGATTGGTTGTTTACGCTTATAAGTTTTATGCAAATAAATTGTAGAAGGAATTGCAAAATGAAATGCATCATCATTGTTAGTAAATTCAAGTTCAAACGGCCTAGACAATTGAGTTCATTTCACCCATAAAACGGCTGACCCACCACAACCCAAAGACAGAACCCCAAATCATAATACCAAATACAAACTCGTGTAAGAATTGGATACAAACTCGCTTAAATTAAAGCCTAAAGATATAAGCCCAACTAATAAGACTAAATACTTATAATGAGTATTTTCCAATATAAGCCCAATATAAATTCAAGTTGGTGGCCCAATTTGGAGTCAAATACAATTGTAAATTTCTAACCTAAAATGTAAACAAACTAGAAGACTACACTAAGACATGGTAAAAGTCACACAATTTCACAATGAAAGTCAAAATATCATACAAAGTAATACATCACAAACATCAAAATGTTTCAGTACCTAACCAAAATACTCATAAGAATTTTAGAGTGAAGAGTGTCACCACCTTAGCATCAAAATGTTTCAGTACCTATTCAATACTATTTAAGACCACATAAGCATCAAAATGTCACCACCTAGGAATCAAAATGTTTCAGACCAGTCGACACCATCTCTGTGATTGTCATCCACTAAACCTGCATCTTCAACATACTCATAGTAGTTCTCAATCGTGTTTTGTTGTTGCTGCTGCGGAGCATTTGTTTTTTTCCTCTTAGCCTGGCAGAGTTTAATCACCTTAGTTAACATGTCAGGTCCACACAACACAAAATAACCAACAATGACACTCTAGAGTGAAATGCATGACTTACTTGTGGCTTTACTAGTGGCTTCTTGTATCATAACTCAGCAAGGGATTTAAGCCTTGACCCCTTAGGCTGTCCTTGAGGTCTCTTTGGAGGTATTGGATCTTTCACAACTTCGGCAGTAGCATTCACTACTTTAGGCATAGTCTCTGATTTAGGGGTATTACCTGCATTGAGGGTGTTAGATACAATCTCTGAAAGATATAAGATGGTTCTGGGAAAATTACACATGTTTATTAAGTTATCAATAATTATATCAATAATTACCTGGATGCATGGTATCAATTCCAATTTCAGCTGGGGAGGTTTTGGGCAATGTGGGAATAGATTGTTGATTTTTTTAGCTCTTTGGCCTTCCTGAAGGTTTCTTACATATTGGATCTTTCACTACGGTTGCATTCACTTCTTCAGTGGGCATGATGACTGAGTTGGGGGTATTACCTGCTTTAATGTTGGTTATAGTCTCAAATGTGGGTGTATGATTGTTCTGATTTAGTTACTAAATTATTTAAAATTACCTTGATGCATGGTGTTAGATCCAATTTCAAATCGGAGGGTTCTGGGCAATGTGGGAATAGATGGTTTGTTTTCAATGTACTTAGCCTAGCTTTTCTTCACTTCCAAAGGTAGCGTCTAAAGAGAATTGACAATCAAGTCTACAGTCTCCTTATCATCGACAGATAACGCTTCCTCACATATGGGCTCAAACTTGTGCATCAGTTTGTTATAGCTTTGAACATAAACATCTTTCGAAGGATCGTGGTAGGTAACCTTGACACGAGTATGCTTCCTGACCACATCTTTGCGCCACCTGTCTAAAATGTATTTGCTCGGAATGTCAAAAACAAAATTTTGATCAAACACCCGGATTATATGCCTACAAATGATACCAAAGGTCTCAAACTTTCGGCAATCACAAGAGACATCCTTTGTATTGGTGTTAAAAAGGACACAGTAGACACGCCTCTTATCAGTGATGACTTCCTCGCTCGTGCCTTCTGGAATAATCCAGACCCTGTCTTCAAGTCAGTACTGGATAATACCACCATCAAGCGCACACTCTTCCCTCCCATAGCAATGCATTAGTCGAGTACACTCTGTCTAAACCTCCTGGAACTTTTTATCTGTGTAAATTTTTTGGAAGAACCTCTCTACCTGAAACCCACTGATCAAACTGCGAACGTATTTTGCACACCTAGCATCAACATCATTTTCAGCTCGAACACGCCTCTGCATTGACCTAGTGTACTTCTCTGGGAATTCATACAACTTTGTCTTCCTATTCACGAACCCATCAAAATTCCTATTAATGCTTTCGACCCTCTGCGTAGTCTTCATGCCAGCCCAAAAGTACTCTTTCATGAAGGCAGGAACCCACATATGTCTGTCCTCAAACAAGTCAGTTAACCAATCATTATCCTCAAGTTTGTATTGCTTGATTAATGATGTCCATCTATTCTCAAATTCATCAACAGTGAAGCTCTCATAAATAAGAGTCTTCAGTGGGCTCTTAAAATCTGCATAGCTGAATAAACAAGAAGAGGCAATTAATTGTTATAGTACAAGGATCAGTACATGAAGAGGCACTACATAAAGAAACTTTTAAGTTTGCTTAATTTAGAGCTTCCTGGTGAATTAAGATCAAAGGATAAAAACACTACTTATTGCAGGCATAATCCATCTTACTTCATCTTAACACCCATTTGCAACTGCCTTTCTGCTTCCAAAAAACAGACCCAAAAAGTAGACAGACACAAAATAAACAAGTTCCTCTCAGGTATGCAAGCTAATTAATAACTAATCACCCATATATCAACCTCTCACACGGATAGTACAGTAATTCCATCTTCCATACAAGGTATGGTCCTTGATAAAAATTTCAAAGCGATAATCTAATAAAGCAGACAAGCATCATTGTAGGCGTCGCTCGAAGTGCGCCTACGTTAAAAGCATGTGGTGAATATGCTGGGCACTCATAGGAAGTGGGAATTGACATATACGATTAGGGACAAGGAAAGCAGGGAGCCGCCAACAAGTTTTTAAGGAACTTGTAAACCGTTCACGGATCATAAAAGGCAACCACGATAAAGGGACAACGATAGGCAACAACGATTGACCCGTGAAGGTTACACCCCATTCATAATCCATGAGATTACTAACTCCATATGGTTCGGAACCACGAAAGGAGGATCGGGGATGATGGTACGAAGTGAGTCATGGAGTCACATTCGCCCTTATTGGCCTCTACTCGATTCTGATAGTGAAAAGTGATTCCTGCGATCTCAAAGGCATACAAACAAAGATTCAATTTGCTCCAAACTATTATTAAGCTAAATTGGTTTAATATTAATGCAACACATAATTCTAAAATATTTGTGATCACTTGAATTAATAACAAGATTAAAAAGAACCTAAACCAGTTGTCCAAATTATCTTATTAGGCGTGATTTTCAATTACATATTCCCTTTAAACATGCAATATGGTGATCATAATAATAAATAATAGAATAAACATTAATATTGGAAGCTATTCAACAATAATAGTCAAATTAAATATGAAATAACCTAATCATGATACTAGCAATAAGAAAATAAAATAAGAGTAATTAAATTAATTAATTACTCACATTCCGCGCGTTCCTTTAAATTGCTACATCACGAATAAACTGTTAGTAACTTCAATAAAAAAAAATATAAAGTAAATGGAAATTAAATTAAATAAATATTATACTTGATTTGGTCCAAACCCTCAGTTATTTGTACCTTTCACGCCTTGGTTTAAGGACGGAACCTCGGGCTAAGTATAGATTCCTTGGAGTGCTTAGAGCAATTATTATGGAAGAATAAGGAGGCTAGAAATTAAGTTAAAGAGGGAGAAGAGAATGATTTTTGGTATAAGGTGAGAGAGAATGATTATTGGTGCCCCGTACATCAGAAATGAGGGGGTATTTATAGAGAAAATGTGCTGAGGGAGCACACGGAACCCTAAAATGATAAAAACCCTAAAAAAGTATCCCGCGACACGGCAAAGTGTACCGTGACACGGGAAATATTTAGGTTACGGGAAGGAAAACGCGTTAAGGTTTTACGCGGAAAAGACACGGAATGTCCCGTGACACGGCACAGATACCGTGACATGGCAGTATCCACCGTGACATGGTACAGTACACCGTGTCACGGTATGGGAGACGCGGAAATTACACGGAAACAGCTCCGTGTCACGGGGAATCCCACCGTTAGACGGTGTAAATTCCCGTGACACGGTGGAAAATGCCGTGACGCGGGAGTTGTTTAGGTACGAAGAACGCAAATAGGACACGGAATAGCCCCGCATCACAGCAAGGGCACCGTGTCACGGGGATTCCCACCGTCAGACGGTGCAATTTCCCGTGACACGGTGGAATTGCACTGTGCGCGGTGATTCCAGGTTTTTACCCGTTTTTAAAACCATCATAACTTTTGATCCGTAACTTGGAATGAGGCATATAATATATAATTGGAAAACTTATCAAGTTTACTTTCCAACCCAATTGGAATCAAGTCAAAATAATATGTAGATTTTAAGATATGGCCGTTTTAGTGGAAGGGTGTCGGTTTTAGGCCGAGTTTGGTGTTTTGCTCATATCTTTTTCGTTATAGCTCAGAATTGGGCTTATGATATATGGTTGGAAAGCTTATTTAAAGGCCTATCCAAAAAAATAATAATTGGATCAAAATTGTATAGCCATAAAATCAGTTTCTCTCAGTGGACACGTAAAGTGGAAAATACGTTATGGTTTAGGGAAATGAGCTAGAAATTGGATTGGTTCATGAAATATATTGGATAGAACATGGATTTAAGCACTCCAAAGATTAAATACTTTACTCGACCAATAATGGCGGTGAGAGGTGTTCATCAACGGGTTTGGTTTTGGGGAGACATTTTTAGGTGTCTACAATCATGAATATCAGATGATACACTATCTATCACATCAACAAAGTACAGATAAACAACAAACAGAAGCAACCAAGTAAAGACATATCTGAAGCAAACAGATGCAACAACCAGATGCAAACAATGCAAAGGCAGATCTGAATAACAAAGCACAGAATAACCTCAAACAATAAAGCAAGGTAGATCTGATTACCAAAGAAAAGAATAGAGCAAAGAATATCAAAACAAACACTTAAAAATCAAAAACAAAACAAAGATACAGTAAAGACTGCTTAGAAGAATTTACAACAGACATATACTTACTGTTCACATTTTTCGAGCTTTTCTGGGATTTTCCTCCAGATGTGCCAAATGCACCAACGATGTCGCGCGTTGGGCATTACTTGTGCCAATGGCTTGCGCATTGCAGCAGCTTGGTCTGTTAGAATAGCCCCGGGTTGTGTGTTACCCATACAAGCCAACCACTGCCGAAAAACCCAAGAGTATGTGTCACAATCCTCATGTGATACAAGGGCACAACCCAACAATATAGATTGTCCGTGGTGGTTTACTCCTACAAAATCAGCAAACGATAGCTCATACTTGTTTGTTAGGTAAGTAGCATCAAAGAAAACAACATCGTCGAAATCTTGATATGCCACCCTACTACGAGCGCCAACCCACATTACGTCCTTGAGACGACTATCTTCATCTAGTCGATGTGCATGATAGAAATTTTGATTATCCGCTTGCATACGGTCAAAGTACGCCATCATAGTAGCCGCATCACCCCATTCCATCATCAGCCTCTTTGCTTTATATATCTCGTGTTGGAGGTCCTTAACACTAGGAAGGTTATCAAACCCAGTCTCAATAGCCATACATCCATGAATCTGCCTTATAGGGAGACCTTCCTCATAATAATTTTGTAAGTTCCTACGCACATTGGACGTGAAATGCTTCATTCGATATTCCTTAACCAAGTTCGCCATACTAGGATTAGGTGTATGGTTATCATGCTCATTTTTAAAATTCCGAATGACCCAAAGACCATCATCATCCACACCATCATACATCATGGCGCCGCATTCACATTTCTTGGACGTCTTTTTCCCTCGCTGCATCACATCTTCCACTACTTCACCATTAACAACCCCACCTGTACCACAAAGCTCCATGGCCTTGGACCGTTTCATAGCCTCCTTCCTTGCCCTCATGTCGGGAGGAACCCAACACTCACACTTCCATGTGCTTCCCCTCCTCTCCCTATCCAACTTGGAAAAGTTAGATGAAACTCTTGTAACCCTGTAGGCGTCGTTTGAAGTGCGCCTACGTTCAAGCATGTGATGAATATTCTTGGCACTCATAGGGAGTGGGAATTGACATATACGATTAGGGACAAGGAAAGTAGGGAGCCGCCAACAAGTTTTTAAGGAACTTGTAAACCATTCACGGATCATAAAAGGCAACCACGATAACGGACAACGATAGGCAACAACGATTGACCCGTGAAGGTTACACCCCATTCATAATCCATGAGATTACTAACTCCATATGGTTTAGAACTACGAAAGGAGGATCGGGGATGATGGTACGAAGTGAGTCATGGAGTCACATTCGCCCGTATTGGCCTCTACTCGATTCTTATAGTGAAAAATGATTCCTGCGATCTCAAAGGCATACATACAGAGGTTCAATTTGCTCCAAACTATTATTAAGCTAAATTGGTTGAATATTAATGCAACATATAATTCTAAAATATTGTGATCACTTGATTTAATAACAAGATTAAAAAGGAACCTAAACCGGTTGTCCAAATTATCTTATTAGGCGTGATTTTCAATTACATATTCCCTTTAAACATGCAATATAGTGATCAATAATAACAATATAATAAACATTAATATTGGAAGCAATTTAACAATAATAGCGTTAGTCAAATCAAATATAAAATAACCCTAATCATGATACTAGAAATATTAAAATAAAATAATTAAATTAATTAATTACTCACATTCCGCGCGTTCCTTTAAATTGCTACATCATGAATAAATAGTTAGTAACTTCAATACAAAAATAGAAATTAAATAGAAATCAAATTAAATTAAATTGAATAGAAAGTAGAGTTGATTTGGTCCAAGCCCTCAGTTATGTGTACCTTTCACGCCTTGGTTTAAGGACGGAACCTCGGGTTAAGTATGGACTCCTTGGAGCACTTAGGGGAATTATTATGGAAGAATAAGGAGGCTAGAAATTAGGCTAAATAGGGAGAAGAGAATAATTTTTGGTGTAAGGTGAGAGAGAATGATTATTGGTTCCCCGAACTGCAGAAAGGGGGGTCCTATTTATAGGGAAAATGAGCAGAGGGAACACGCGGAACCCTAAAAAGATAAAAACCCTAAAAAATAATACCGTGTCACGGCAAAGAGCATTGCGACACGGTGACAGGCACCGTCAGACGGGGGAAGATCCCGTGATGACACAGGGAAAAACTGAGTGACGCAGGAAATAATTAGGTTACGAGAAGTGAAAACGCGTTTAGGGATTACGTGGAGCAAACACGGAGCAATCCCGTGCCACGGGATGTGCACCGTGACCCGGGAATAAATGTCGTGACACGGCATTGTCCACCGTGTCACAGTGCAGTATGCCGTGTCACGGTGTAAAAAGTACGCGGAAATTACACGGAATATCCCCGTGTCACGGAATGGGCACCGTGACACGGGAAATTGCACCGTGACACGGGAGAAAATTGTGCAGAATTACAAAAATGGGCACCGTGTCACGGGAATAAGCCCCGTGACACGTCAGCATTTGCCGCGTCGCGACATTTTAGCTGCTGCGCGGTAATTTTTGTTTTTTTACCCGTTTTTAAAATAATCATAACTTTTGATCCGTAACTTGGAATAAGGCATATAATATATAATTTAAAAGCTTATCAAGTATACTTTTAAAACCAATTAAAATCAAGTCAAAATAATTTTTAGATTTTAAGATAAGGCCTTTTTAGTGGAAGGGTGTCGGTTTTAGGCCGAGTTTAGTGTTTTGCTCATATCTTTTTCGTTATAGCTCAAAATTGGGCTTATGTTATATGGTTGGAAAGATTATTTAAAGGCCTATCCAAAAAAATAGTAATTAGATCAAAATTATATAGCCATAAAATCATTTTCTCTCGGTTTTGCTATGTGGACACGAAAAGTGGAAAATAGGTTATGGTTTAGGGAAATGAGCTAGAAATTGGACTGGTTCATGAAATATATTAGATAGAACATGGATTTAAGCACTCCAAAGATTAAATACTCAACCCAACCAATAATGGTGGTGAAAGGTGTTTATCAACGGGTTTGGTTTTGGGGAGACATTTTTAGGTGTCTACAAACCCCAAAACCTTTCTGCTCAGCATATTCTTTGTAGTATGATTCTACATCGGCAAAGGTTTTAAAATCCATCCCCAATCTTGGTGATTCAACATACTCGTATGTAGTGACTTTGTTCGTTGAGACAATGGTCTACGCAGTTTTAATGGTCTTAATTTGAGACAGTGCAACTAATCTCTCAACAGAAGAAGGAACATTCAGTGTCATACATCCAAGAGAAGGGACACCATCAACATCATTTGAATTTGCAACAACACTTGGACTTATCACTTGTTCCCCCTCAGAGTTGGATGTCAGATAAACATTAGTACCCTGACGTCCATTTCCCCGGGATCAACATCACCCTATATTCATAGTGCAATGTAACAACTGGAACAATAGCAATTACAAAATTCAGTCCAATTTCTAAGCAACAATCACAATAACAACAGGATAAAATCCCAATAATAACAATAGCAACAGGAAATTTTTAAGTAAGTAAATTCAACAGCATTGTAGATCATCAGTCCAAATTAAAAGGACATAAACAGTTTCAATTAACCAAGTTAAACAGTAACAATGTAATACATCAGTCCAATTTCAAGTAAAACAGCTTCTGGAACCACAATAAAAAAAAAAACACCTTCAGTCGACTTCCAGATAACATACTTCAACAAAAACAGAACGACTACTATAAGATGAATTTTAAAAAATATAAAACCAATTACAAACTCAATGCACCAACAAAATATAGAAAAGCTTCCAAATTTTTTGTAACTACATTCGGGAATTGCAAATCAATGTAATTTACACTTTAATTACTGAGAATAATTTGCAGAATTTCAATTTCGACAACAAACAGTTCAATTTTGACTAATTGAAATTCCAGACAACAACTGGATAGTGGGAATTGCGATACTTAAGTAGGAAGTGAACACAATAACATAATTGTCCAAGCTTAAACAAAGACGGAAATACAAAGGGTTTTCAACAATAACCTACAAAGATGAACACATTCTGTCTATTGACAACGATTGACGAGTACAAATCCTGTCGCTATGACTCTAAATTTGCCGAAGATCTATGTCAATTTTCTTAATTTGCCCTTAAACCCTAAACCCTTACTCAGAGGATAGCGTGAGAAGAGAGGAGGGAGAAGGAGAACATAACAGGATGCGAAAAAAATTGTGGATTTGAAAACGGTAATTGAAAACAGACGTTAACTCCAATCTAACGCCCAAAGTTAACTACCACATCATCATATCAACATAAAACATTAAAACAATAGAAAGAAGCGCTGATATTTTCGAAAATGCCATTTTATTAACAAGTTATGTCAATAAGCTTTATTAACCGGGCAACCCTCTTGTTAGAACTGGTCCCCTTAAAAAATATTCCTACACAAAATAAATTTGTATAGTAATAATAAAACGCCCAGTGGCAGGAACAACGAAACGGTAATTGGGTACTGGAAAAGAAGTCTAGTTTCAATTCTTGTTGTTTTCCTCCTTCCACATTTCTTTCTGTTAATTTTAATAATTCCAATCTTTTTATCAGTCTTTTCAATATCTCTCTTATCCCTAAAATCTTTCTATAATTAGTTTTGTTTATATCTTTACTCCAATCTTAAAATAACTAGATGAAGCCCGTGCGATGCACATTTTGTTTGAATATATATATATATATATATATATATATATATATATATATATGTATGTATGTATGTATGTATGTATGTATATGTGTGTGTGTGTGTATATAAATGTGTATATATGTGCTAAAATTTGTTATATATTTAGATAAAAAATCTAATATCAAAAGATAATATTTTATATTTAATTTAGCTAAACTGGAAAATCTCATTCGCCAATTTTGCTTGTGTGTCATTTTAATTATTTAATTCTAAAAGAAATTAATAATTTCGTATTTAATTGACTACCATTAAAATGTATTATCCTACATGGCGCACTAAAAAATTAAAGTCTACGTGGCTCTCTAAAAACTCATATATATATATTAGATTTTCCCTGTACTTTCCCTGTATATGTATTAGATTTTCCCTGTATTTTTTGATTCACAATATTGTATAGCTTAATTTGATTCTTTTGTTTTTTTTTTCAAAAAAAGATATATTGACCATTGATATCTTTGATAATATACATTGAGTTTAATCATAGAACAACTAATAACATTTGTTTTGTCATAGTAAAAACTATTTTATCAAAAAAAAATATTAGTTAAAAATGTGGTCAAAGCTAATTTATAATAGTACAAAAGAAAAAAGTTTATAATGGAAAACGTATACGACGTATATAAATAAAATATTATATTAGTTAATATATGTGTTCGGCCCCGTTGAATTTCAAATCCTGGCTTCGCCCCTAGATGTATGTAATGAGGAGAGAGATACAGAAAAATGATAACCTACAAATGAAAGAAAACATTTGTTGTAAATAATGTTTAGCATCTATTTTGGTAAAAGTTGTACATTATATTATAAAAGATTGAATCTTAAAAAGTATTGATAATAAACAAAAAAAAGTTTAGAGGAATTAATTAGGGTTTAAATGCTCTATATACAGGCTACAATAAAAATAAGAACAAGAATATTTATTATGATATAATACAAGTCCTATTTATTGGAATAGCTCGAAAACCCAATTAAAATAGCTATATCAGCCTCTCAATATCACACGTGATGGGTTTGGCTGTTTGGGCAATGTCACCCTATTTAGGGTGAACTTGGATCTAAAAAATTATGTGCTTCAAAATTTCCATATGCGAAACTTGAACTTTGCCCGGTGAGTCAAGGTATAGGGCAAGTGAGGTAAGATGTAATATACTTCATGGTATAAGGAAAC